AGTATTAACCTTGATAATACATGCGCATGATCTAATTTCTTAGACATTTGGTACTCCATTGTAAAGTCATAGTCTAATAAGAAGGTATATATATATATATATATATATATATATATATATATATATATATATATATAAAGTATATAATTGGTATATACGGAATGAATTCCAATAACCAACAATTACTATTCTTAAAAGAGTGCTCAATACAAAGTAGAGCAGATATAATTAATTTTATAAAAAAAATTATGACATAAGTATGTTATAAAATCACTACAAAAATAGCCATTTCGTTTCAACACACTCTGTGTCTTATCAAGTGATGATGTTGAAAATAAAATAAATTTGAAACAAAATGGCTATTTTTGTAGTGATTTTATAACATACTTATGTTATAATTTATTTTTATAAAAAATAATTATATATATATATATATATATATAGGAAAGGTATGAATCCTCTTTCTCTCCTTCCAGCTATGGGTAAAATAGCAGGACAGAGTGGGTTCTATAGCCTTGGATGGCAACTGGTCTAGGAGAAGGACAACTCTGAATTCAAAACCTGCGGAGGGTCGTTTGGGAACCTTGTGGCATTCGGTGCACCAGGTCTCTGTATTCGTCCCTTCAAAAAGTGTGGATGGTCCTGCACGAGGTCTTCACCACTATAATCAAATCTCATGTGCCGGTGTTGGGCTGTCGGTTTCCTGGAAACTGATCTGCTTGACCTTCATACGTCGAATCTCGACGGGAGAGTCGACTATATATATATATATATATATATATATATATACATACATATACAAAGAAATAATCACACATAGAATCAATCAGAAATATTAATGCGATTATTGGCGACATCCATCGCTAGTAGTATAAAGTATGCATTAAAATACTGTTAATCCATAGAGTGAAGTGATCCTCGTCTATAAAATTGATGTCTGTTGTTTCCAGTTTATGTGTTCTTAAAATGCTAGTACTTACGAATAGTCTTCTATTCATCATCAGGCATGTGTTGTTTTTTTCCTTATAAAATCAAAAACTTGAAGACGAAATAATTGTTTGTCGACCGAAAGATTTTTTTTGAATATCTGCTATTATTGACGGTTGTGTAAGATCTCGGAACGTGCAAAGACACAATGCTAAGTTTTTCAAAATTTTAAGTGAGAATTTTATTTAAATATTTCTTGTGATGTGTTAAATCCACGTATTCTATTTTTACAAATGTATTCAGTTAATATGCCATGAACTAAGCATATAGTTCAATAATATAGTGTACTGTCTTAGTAGTAGTTTTTTTTTATCGGAATTTTCATGTACTGCGGATCGATAGTTTTTTATAAACATAAAACATTAGGCAGCATATAATTTACATACAAAGAAATAATCACACATAGAATCAATCAGATTTCATTGAACCATATATTGTTAATAGAGGCCTGTTTTCTAATTTCATCCTAAAATTTCTTCAATGAATAAATTTATGAAATTTCTTTACAGTAAATATAGTTTGGACCCATTTTTTCTATCTGGCTGTAATTTTTCTCTGCTGGTAGAAGCGAGCCTGAAGCATGAGTGAAGGCTTTCATTTTACCGCTATCGTATTTGTGTAAAATCACGGCTTCAATATCATACTCACTAGAATCTGACGTCACTACAAATTCTATTTCTATATTAGTGTGCTAATGATAAAGTTATCATTCCAGTTCCACTTTACTCCCTTTTAAGTAGATCGTTCTCAAATTATGCATTTTATGTACGTATATTTGATAGTAATTAATCACTCCTAGAAAAGCTTGTAACGTCGTAACATTTGTTGGTGGAAGTATATTTTTAATTGCACTTGTTCTCGACAGATCTGGTTGTTGAACGTTTTTTGGTCAATTTGTATTTGATTTTTCAGGAAAAACAATTCGTATTTTTCTTTACTGTGCTTGAATCCGTACTTAGTTTTTCCAAAATTGATGTTGTTGCTGCTACTGTTGTTTGTGTTGTTGCAGCTCTTGTTGTTTCTGTTGCTGCTTTTGTTGCTGTTCTTGTTTATGTTGGTGTTTTTGATGTTTTTGCTGTTGCCGCTTCCGCTCCCGCCGCTTTTGGTGCTGCCGTGGGACATCCTGTTGGGAAGGAGGAGTTGCCACTTTTTGTCCTCTCCTCAAGACCTCCTTCCACCGCTTCTACTGTTACTGGTGTTGGGCGATGCTGTGGGCCGTGTTCTTAGCGGGGCACGCCTTAGATATATGTTCCGCGGCGCCACAGGACCAGCAGTGGGGTCGATGATCGTCTACAACGATGAGGATCGCCCGATCTCGACTCGTCAAAGTGTCGGATACCTCTAAAAAACACTTACGGGACATTGTCACCTGCTGAATTATATACCCAGTGGCATTGCCTGTTTTACTACTTAGTGACGCAACCTCCTTCATCTGCCCATAATCCCTGAAGAAGTCTCCAACAAGGTCCTCTACATCCATGAGCACTCTATGTAAAGGGATCTTGGTCCTTCCGGTGCCCATATACTCAGTTTGCATCCTCACCGACTCACAGGATGCTTCCTGCTAGTGCTTTTTCCACATCTTTTGATGTCAACAAGATGTCCCACATTGCGAGTGACCTCCTTTTCAATACATTCACTATAATGTTCAAACACTCCAATGCTACCATACACCAACTTCCTGGTATTTACATCAGATGTAAGCAGGGAAATTGTCTTTTACGAAATCGCCTCTTAGTCCGACGGAATAGTCAGGAGTTCATTTCCTGAAATTTATTCCTGGTACTTATTACCGCTACGTAATATTCAGGCTCCCTTTCTGGGGTCCTGTCTGTCGCCCATGCTGAGGTATGAGAACATACTGGTTGATTCAGCTGCTGATACAACACAGCCATTTTAGCCGGGGACACACCCCAAAACAAATAGCTCGCAAGAAAATAGGCGGTACAAAAAATAGGCAAAATAAAACAAAATCAAAACGTAAAAATAAAACACTATTTACATTATTCAGACTATTGTCCTCATCTTTGTTGCCATATTTATCACAACGTTTCGGCAGTTGTACGCTCCAGCCTTCTTCAGGTGGTTGGAATATCGAACTGAACCCTTTAATTCTCTCGCTGGCGTAGACTGTTCTAGTTCCACGTGCCATGTATAATGGATGTCATCAGTTACCTCCTGTTAATTCCCCTTTCCAAGTTCTCCACTGTCTTAACCAGGTATTGAACTCACAACTCTTTGGGTTAGTTTGAAGATTGACTCTAAGCGGCTGCTATTTACCAAACCTCCCCCAAAAGGAAGGATGTAACACAAAGCCGGTTTTTACGTGGGGCGATTCCGAGCCTGTAAGCTCGGGTAAAAATTCCTCGTAGACCCCACATACACGGGGTCGGGTTTGTCTTCTTTCCCAGACGAGACACTGACCTTCGGAATAACCTTGTCTAGGTTCCTTTCCGTCCGAACGCAGAGAGTTCGACAAGACTGCCGCGAGCCTGACTCGAAACCGCTTCCTCTTTTCTACATGTGACCTGAAACTCTTTATTTATAGTTTTGGACTAGTTCATATAGTCATTGTGTGTGTACTATTTACTCCACAACATGAATCATCTAAGAGTGAGAGAGAGGATATAATATTAATACAGTGTAACCCGGATATAAGAGAGTTGTCAGAACCGGAGAAGAAGTCTCTTCTATCCGGGTTTCTCTTATATCCGGGTTTGGTCTGTTTTGTTTAGGTAAGTATGGGCTCTAATTTGAGACCAGAGAAAATCTCTCTTATATTCGGATTTCTCTTATATCCGGGTCTCTTATATCCGGGTTACACTGTAATAATAATAATAATAATATTTTTATAATAATAATTTTTTTACAAAAATGATCAGTGGAAAATGTCATGAAGCCATTTCTGACCTTAGCGACCAGGAAGGGAATGTGTATACAACAGAAATAATAATAATAATAATAATAATAATAAGAAGAAGAAGAAGAAGATCTTATTGAAGGTAAAAGTATTAAGCAGTGTTATAAAAACGAAGTAATGGATAGCGGCTCGGATTGAGAAATCGGAGAGCAGAGTTCTAATTCCAGTCGAATCCATTACGTGCTAATACCCTTGAGAAAGGTATGAATCCTCCTCTTCTCCTTCCAACTATGGGTAAATACCAGGACAGACCGGATTCTACTAACCTTGGATGGCAAGAAAGACCACAGAAAGAAATGGCAAATCTACTGCAGGAAAAAAAAAATCTGCCTCGTCAGTCATGTATCGAAAGATACATGATCGCCTAAGCGTGTATCACGCATGGCACATAACTGACTGACTGTTATAAAAATACATATAAAAAAAAAGAGGTAATGGGACAAAAATAAAATGCAGCTACCATAAATAGTAACTCAAAAAAGGAGAAAAAAAAATTAAATTAGAAATAAATGACTCTGCACGGATTCTTTTTTAGTTATAGTCTGTGAATTGCCATGAATTCTTGGTAAGGATTCTCACATGGCTTCCCTGTTGCATTGAATTTAGTGTTTTCCTATCTTAGAAGAGTAATTACTATCCAAAACTAAATGTCAAGTCTTGCCTAGTATTTAAGTCGTAACTGTCTTTAGCTAGAACCGTCAGTTTTATTCTAATGATTTATTTTCTCTCACTTTTCGCCCGTGGAAACCCCTTTGAATTTCTTAGTTCTCTGCCACCTACAATCTTCAAAAAAATTAAATGCAACGTCAATCGCCAATTTCTGTCTTCCTGAACTGTTTTCCTTTATTGTTCTTTCTTCTCTCTTCTTCTCGTTCTCTTCCACTCCTAGTAACCGCCCTCCCCCGCTCGCGTCATAGTGGAATTATCGCCTTGTTTGGGATGAAATGGTTTTAAAAATGCATTCTATTAATTGATACGAATAGAAATTTGTTGCCGAAATGACAGCCATTAAAAGTTTGAGATTATTCCACTTTATTCCTTTTTATATCTCAATATATTTTATAAATAAAAAAAAATTATAAATAACCACAAGTAGTCATTTACATTTCTCGCGCTATCTGTTGATTCGTATCTATCTCTATCTATCTATCTATCTATCTATCTATCTGTCTGTCGATTCGTATCTATCTAGCGAGCTCGCTCAGTCTATTCATATCTATCTATCTATCTATCTATCTATCTATCTATCTATCTATCTATCTATCTATCTATCTATCTCTGTCGATTCGTATCCATCCAGGTAACTCGCTCAGTCTATTCATATCTATCTATCTATCTATCTATCTATCTATCTATCTATCTATCTATCTCTGTCGATTCGTATCTATCCAGCTAGCTCGCTCAGTCTATTCATATCTATCTATCTGTCGATTCTTATCTATCTAACTAGCTCGCTCAGGCTATTCATATCTATCTATCTATATATCTATCTATCTATCTATCTATCTGCGGTCGAAAGCATATCTGGTTTGAAAACTTTGTAACCGTAAGTTCTATACTAAGAGTTTCTTCTCGCCTGTGGAACTTACTGCTGTCTTAATGCTTTCCAGCCAACTTTAATCTTCAAAATTTTAAATTCAGCGTCAGTCGTTATCTACTGTCTTCTTCCTTCGTTTATTTTATTGTTCTCGCTTCTAAGTAATGTTTCTTTTCCGTATTTTTCACTCTTCAGTAAACCTGTGTGTCTTAGTGGCTTTATTACCTTGCTTGGAATGAAATGATTATTAGAAAAATTTTGGTTTCACTAATATAAGTGGGACGCAAGTTCGGATTTCTACTGAAAGACAAATTATTAAAACTCTCGAATGCCCGTGCCGGTAGACGTCAGTTATTGTTTAAAAATCAGGGATGTCTATTCAAACACGTGAATCCAATAGCGTTTATAAAAGTAAAAAACAAAAAAACAAAAAAAAAGAACTTTTAAATTGTAAACAACAACACAAAATTCGGGTGTTGTTTTTGTGCTGACAATTTTATGGGGAAAATAACAACAAACAGAAAGCACCTGCAAAAGACACACAATGATTTGCTTTCTGTGTCCCACTTTAAACCGCTGAACAAATTCTTTATACCCTAATTTACAATGACCTTTACCAGTGACAGGGGAACTACGACCTCTGGCCTGCCTGGGTTGTTTCCTGAGATACACACAAGCAGACTGACAAGACAGAGGCAAACTCCGAAGTGAGCAGAGAGTCACATACCAAGCAACCGCTAACATTTTACCATTCGACCTCCTTGTCACCTTTGTCCCCAAACCACAAATATAGGTCAAGGCCAAGTCACCTGTAAGCTTCCTAGAATGGCCTAGTTTTGCCGGTAGCATCTATGGTTGACACTGTCAGTGAGTCCTTTAATTAATCAGCCTGCCATCAGGGTAAAAAAAAAAGAAAAAAAAAAAGAAAAACCTATTCTCAGCGCACCTGTACCCTAATTGGAGAATTTCTACTGAAGAGGTCAGAGACAGCTATCACCAGACCCCGGACACCATACCATCACGCAGGACCGGTTCGTACTATCCCGAACCCCCAACCAGGGGGAAGCATGATTAAGGGGCCCCGGCCGGTGCTTTTTTTTAAGCCTCGCTATCTTATCAACATTTTTCTACCTACATATTATACATTACAAATTAAAGGATGAAAAATTTTCGCGGATTTTAGCGTCACCCTGGGATCTTTTTTTTTTTTTTTTTTTGTCTCTATCTGTGAAATTGTTATGCTCTTGCTAAGTCTCAAAATACACTATATAAAATTCGTTATTTTTTTACCCATAATGTTGAATGTGTTGAAATTATTAAACTTTTTAACAAGAAAAATCTCAAATTGATATTAAAACTTGACGCAAATCATTGTTGATTTATTTAAGATGGAATGATTTAAGATGGCTGTCTCTAAGTTTTATTTAGATACATTCTATTTTTTTTTTTTCATTTTTTTAGTTGAATGTTTTTTGGTATATTGCATATGATCCAATTGTGTACGTAATTAGCTTAAAATAAAATAAAAATATTCTATATGGCTACTGCCTTATGACAATTGGAATTTAGTAGAGTGAAGGGCCCGAATCATAGTTTTGGTGGGTGCACGAGAATCTTGCACCGTCCTTGGTTGACACCGTCAGCGAGTCCTTTAATTACTCAGCCTGCCATCACATTAAAAAATGCCCCCTATTCTCAGCGCACCTGTACCCTAAATGGAGAGCTATCTCGACCCCGTACACCATACTATCACGTTCACGAGAGTCAACCAACCGCCACCAAGCCAGGAACACTACTGTCCCTGATTCGTTATTTTCATGCACTTTCGGGAAAG